CCTGTAATTAGTACCATTCTAGGAAGAAATGTAGGTAATTTAAAGTTTGCTACTAGTTAATAGTACAAACAAATAAAAAGACAAATTATTTTCAAGTACTTTGGAAATAACTTCATCAGGAGAATTTGCTTTCAATTAACATGTCAATTAAAATTTTTCTTATCTTCTCATTGAACAGGGGGAAATGCACCTGTCGCTGGCACTAAACTATAATAAAAGTGGAATTAAAATGTGTCGGTTGTGTCTACAACTAGAACTCTTCTCTAATTTAAAAATGAGTCCTTTACTTTTTGAACAATAGGTGTAATGACTTGGGCTGAATGTAAGACGTGGTCCAGGTGCTTTCTCATTCTTTTAAGAGAGAGGGTGGCAGTCACTCCAGTCACCCGAAAAGTGATGTCCTGCAGGGCCCAAGGACCCAGATGGAATACAGCAACCAGGGGAAGAGAAAGCCAAGGTGAGAGTGACTGTATTCAGAATCATGGTGATGGCAATGTGAAATGGTGCAACTTTTTTGGAAAACAGGCAACTTCTTAAACACCCCTACCATATGTGACCAGAAGAACTAGTGATGACCTAGTGATCTTTAGATACACACTTACCATATGACCCAGCCATTCTATTCTCAGATATTTACCCAAGAGAAATGGAAGACTATGTCTCTACAAAGACTTGTATGTGAATGTTCAAAGCACTTTTATTTGTAATAGACAAAAACTAGAAACAACTCAAATGCCCATCAACAGAGGAATAGGGTATATCCATAAAACAGAGCACTACCTAACAACAGAAAGCAGTGAGCTATAAACATACACAGTAATATGAATGAATCACAAAACAATTACACACCAAGTGAAAGAAGTCCAACGAAAACTTAGTATGTATTATATGATTCCACTTACATTCACTTTAGAAAATGCAAGCTAATCTATAGTGATGGAAATGAGACCAGTGGCTGCCAAGAGACAGGATTGGGGGAATTACAAAGGAGCACAAGGGTACTTTTGGAGGTGAGAAACTATGTTCATTATCTTGATTTTAGTGATGGTTTCACAGGCGTACACATATGTCAAAAACTCATCAGATTGTACACTTCAAATATGTGCAGTTGATTATATGTCAATTTGACCTGAGTAGAGCTATTTTAAAGAAGGATAAGAAGAAGAAAAAAAAGGAGAAGGAGAGAAGAAGAAGAAGAAGAAGAAGAAGAAGAAGAAGAAGAAGAAGAAGAAGAAGAAGAAGAAGAAGAAGAAGAAGAAGAAGAAGAAGAAGAAGAAGAAGAAGAAGAAGAAGAAGAAGAAGAAGAAGAAGAAGAAGAAGAAGAAGAAGAAGAAGAAGCCGCCGCCAAAGGAGAGAGAAGTTGGAGAAAAATGTGAGTTTCCAGAGACAGAACAGGTTAAACATGGAGGCCCACAGACCCTGAAAGAGAGAAAACGCCATGGAAAGATCAAGAAGAGAGGAGAAACTGTACTCCATTTAAAAAAAGCAGTCCATGGAGGCACTGGGCACCCCCACAGCACTTGGTGATGTGTGCAGTAGCCCCCTGAGTTAGCAGGGAGTGATACTGTGACAAATTGAGGTCCTGGAGAAGCAGGAGTAAGAGAAAGTCCTGGTTTCCCTCAGGATTATCCAAGTCAGTCCACCAGGGTCGGAACAGGCAGGGAGATGGGAATGTAGAATGAATACAAACATTTGGGAGCCCAATTCCCTTAAACTCGCCTCCCTGGTTCTAAATCTGACAGCAAAAGCACCAACACCCAGTAACCTTCTTTACTCCTTAACTGTGTGACAATTGCCCTTGAGCATTTACACACCTAAGAAAACTGAGGCCCAGGGTCATTTAGTGATTTCTCCAAGGGCCTCAGTTTTCTCAATTGTAAAATGAGAGGGGTGGTTTAGCTCTGCGGTGTGTGGGTCATATAAGTCCTTCCTTCCTTCCTTCCTTCATTTGATCTTTCAGAGCGCAGTAGGCACTGTGGCAGATAGGCAAGACCCCTGCACGCCAATGGACTCCAGAGAGACTAAAAATGAAGGAGAACTAGATAAGGTAATGTCAGGTAGTGATAAGCTCTAAGAAAATACACCAGGCATGCCTGAGTGGGGGTGGAGTGCCTTACTTTAGGGAGTATTGTCAGGGACAGCAGTTCCAAGAAGGTCAGAGTTGAACAGAGTCAGGAATGATGAGAAGGAACCAGCCACCTGATTCCAAAAGAGAATGGGCAATAAACTTATGTGGTTCTCTTCACAGGTGAAAAGAAACATACACTCTCTTTCTCACGTATACCCCCTCCACCCAGTAATACAGAGAAATTCCATTTACACACAACTTTTTAAAGAGTAGCTACAATATCATTTATTAGAACAACCCCTTCAAGACGGGCATTCTCTTCTACCTAACTCCTTCATTATTTCTAAGTTTCCATCCTAATGGTTATAAATTTTCCCACTTCTTCCAGGCAGAAGTAAACAGGATTTAAATCAGTGTTATGATAACGATGCATAGTAAGAAAGAAATCCTACACCGTGACCCAATGTATACATAAAAATGAAACGAAAGTTTTAAAAAGCCAAGCTAACCACGAGCAAGGCATTATTGTACATTCTATTATATTTCATTTTTCTTAAGTGATAAGGTGACTTCAAAGGTAATTCACACTTTGAAAAACACTATGCTAAACTAACACTAGCTAGTAATTTTGTTCAAAGACAAACAAAAACATGGAAAATTTCAATATTGAACAACCTCAAAGGCCACCTCCCCTCCTCCTTATTTCTGTACCCATACTTGCTTTAAGGCAATGGAACCCAAATTTCTCTGTGACTTGTGGAGAAAAAGCCCAGAAGGGACATTTTTCAGGAGGGTTGGGGAGTGGGGTGGGGGAAGGAGAGGATCCCCAATATACAAACTGTTCACTAGGTGAGGACATAAGCTTTGGTTTGCAAGATTGCCCAAGAAGGAAAGACTCACAAAGTCTTCACAAAAACTTTGTGTGTGTGTGTGTGCGCGTGTGCGTGTGTGTGTATGTGTGTTGGCGTGTTGGTAGAGGGGAAGCTGTCAGCAAGCCATTAAATTGTAAGTGCCCAGAGGACTGGCTGCCTCCCCTCACCACAATCCCAGTTCCACGTGGACAGATGTGTAACTGTAGCACTGAGAATCATACTTCAAATTTAGTACATAACACAAGGGGTGCTCAATAACATGTTGTCTAATAACTTTTGAAAAATGGAGCTCATTGTCACCATTGAATCCTAACTTCACATGTATACCCAGTTATCACATTCTCCTGGAATATATAAACGTCACGCAATACTGAAGAAAACTTATTTATCTTCAAGTCATTGTTTAAGTCCAGAGAGCTTAATGAGGACTTTTTTTCTCAAGCACCAAGCAGGGAAAGGTTGTTTTCTATTGCAAGGTACAAGGAGCTACACCGGCTAGAATAGAAAGATTCCACATCTGCTAGTGGCCAGGGTAAACCTGGGATTAAAACGAGTGTGTTAATTTAATAGGTAATTTCTCAGGGGACACTAACCAGTGGGCTCTGTCAGCGAAGGGCTCTCTCTGATGGAAACCGTGCCAATTTCTCTGTGAAACGCAGTTACCATCCTCACCCCTGAAGTCAGAAGTGCATGCACCCAATTTCCAGTAGCCCCAGGGCCCTGGAGCCGGAAAATTACACCTGCAAGCCAGCACTTTTCCCACACTGCCGCACAGCTGCCACACACAGAAAGCAGCTCATTTCAACGGTGCCCTTCAGCCCCACTTAGGGACATCATTAATGATTTCAAATTACAACTGTTGCTGTCTCTCTAAACAGTGATGAATCGGGGAGCTACATTCATGATGCTTTCTTTTACATCATGTATCTGCTCTCCTCTCAGGGGCACAAAAGATGTTGAGACAAGTCCGAACCTGCCAGAGCGTCTTCTAGATGCAGCCCTCCTGCCCTCCTGCCTTCCCTCCCTCTGCCCCACTCCAGCACCCCTCCCCCTCTGGATTTCCAGCTGGGAGGCAGTGACCTCCGGTGAGGAAGTGCAAGCGGCTCCTTGTTAAAGCAAGGAGAATTCATCGGAGTCAGAGGCTCAAACGCCTCCCGCATCCTAGCAGATCAATTCACCGGGCTCCCCCAGGTCAACAACAGGCCGGGGTTTCCGAAAGGGAGCGTCTTAGAGGAGGGCGGCCACCCTTTCAAATACTGGAGCATCCGCTTAAACGCGAGATGGAACCCACCGCGCCACCAGACCAGAGGTGTGGGCAGGCGCGTGTGTGCGTGAGCACAGGGACAGCCTGCCTATGGGCGAGACATCAGTGGCCACGCAGGGCGACCCACCACGGTTGACAAAGCCACGGCGGCTACGACTTCAAATATCACCCGCAGGCACCGGCTGCGGTGCCCAAATCTCCCCGGATTTATTTTCAGACAAGTGACTCACAACCTCGTCTCCCTAAGTAATTCCATTAAAATGAGTCGCCGGTTCCACTAACCCGACTTTCCGCAGCTCTCCGGCTGCCCCTCCCTCCACTCCGCCCATCCAGCAAACCCACACGGCTCGCAGACTGAGCCACGGTACCCCAGGGGAGCAGAGGGCAGGCTCTCCCGCCCGGCCCCCCAGCCTCGCGGAGGGATGAATGGGGCC